GCGGTTTCACTATTTCAGAGAAGTTCAATTACATCCCATAGGGTTTCCCATATAAATAGACATATACAAACCCTCAGATAAAATTACAATCACGCCCTCGCTCCTCCCAACCCCCTTTATTCCAACAGACACTCCTTTTCACCAGGAGACACGCCTCTTCAAAAGAAACTCCAACTCCCTAGATATGAGCCATATCTAACAGGTACCCTTAAAACTATTAGAATGTCTCATTTGCCAAGAAATTCAACAAGTCGTCTCAGAGTACCCAACCATTCATGGGTCTTGCTAAAAGAACACAATTAACATAACAAGCCTACAACCCCTACTTCCCAAATATTTCGTGCAGCCAAATAGAAGCCAGACTTATCTAGTTGCGACGATGCTGGTTGTCAATTTCTAAATAGCCAAGATTCAGATAGAAGCATTTATATCATTTGTGAGTAGTGCCCATAAAGAAGGTCTTCGAGACTAAAGGCCACAAAACAAACAAGGCTATGCATTAACATTCAAAGAAGAAACAATTGAAGGGGTTAAATGATGCTATTTTTACAACAGATTCCTCATCCAGAATCTGCAAAAAACAAAATAGATCACATCTTCACCCAAACCATACATGTGTGCAAGTCAGAGAGCACATCCTATTATATATGAAGTTATATCGCGGCAAACATCTCAATTAGAAAACAACCTCAGCAGAGTTTAATTAACCAAAACAAAAAAATTATAGTAACTAAAACTATCTGCTGGAATTTGAGATCTGCGGCCCCAAACCCAGCCATGGCTGGCAGATGTCTTCCTGCTTTACAGAAACAGCATCTTTTGAGACTTCTTTGCTGCTCAGTTGATACGGTGCCTTAGCAATAATTCTGATAATTAAACCATAAACACCATCATTAGTCAAACATGGCTCAGTAAAATACTTAATTAATTGCTTATAGAGTAATAAAGTATTAAATGAAAATTATAAAAAGACCTCACCTTTCCTTTCTCTTCTCCAGAAAGCGGTGGAGGGATGCCTTCCTTGCGATTGGGAGATCTGTTTCCACCAAAATAAATTAAAAAAAATTATTTGAACAACTAGCTATAATAATAAAGCCAACAACTCCGAGCCATCTATCGCTAAATCTTCACTGTGGTCAATAATTGACAAAATTAAGAATAACACACAAAAAATCTAGTAAAAAACTTGCCTATCAATAATTTTGGTTGACCAAGACTGTAGAAGCAGTTGATTAATAGATTATCTTTAAAGCTCGGTTTGTTATCCGATTATAGGGAAAGTTTAGGAAAAAATTAGCTAGATCTAGAATGCGTTAAAATCCACTGTTTATAGGGTTCGATTAATAGAAGAATCTCTAATTGAATAAATGGTCAAATAATTTCACAGTGAAGTTTAGCAGTTGTTCTGCAAAAGAGTTTTTTAAGTTTTAAGTGAAAAAAAAATAGATGAAGACATTTTGATTAAAATTTTACTAAGAATTGATCTCGAAGTTCCTAAAAATTAGATTTTGCTACTTGTAGAGAGACAGTCCCTGAAGATGATGGAGTCCTGATCGACCGACCACTCTGAGATTCCGGTGAACTTGCTTAAAAAGAAATCACTCAATAATAATTGCTTAATCAACCAAGTAGACCAGAAGAAAAAAAAACGATGGCTTACCAGAAAAGCTGGGTTGCGGCCGGGGCGGGAAGCTCGCCGGAGGATTGGGCGGAGCAGGGCAACTCGGGAGATCGGCGGCGGCGCTTGGGGGCGCAAGAGAGAAATTTTGAACACCTGGTCGGGACCCTTTGCTCGCGAGCTGCATCAAATCCCGAGCCTTCTCGGCCGGAAAATTGTCAAAAACAAGCACCTTTCCGCCGTAGAATATCGTCAGCTGAGCCATCTCCGGCTGCCTGAAAACCATCCGCCGTATACAAAACAAAACAAAGGTTTAGAAAACGACGAGTGAATTAATGTTGCAAAAATTGCATGATTGATTTATCTAAAGAATAGTTAAGAAAAAAAAAATTTATAGAGGACAAATCGAACATACTTATCGGGCTGAAGAGGAAACAGCTCAATGGATTTCGTATCGTCATCCTTCGCGCCGGCGACATCGTGGCCGGAAATATCAACGCCCGGAAGCAAACACATAGTGGTCGGAGGACGGTACGCCTCCTGTTTACCTGAAAATTAGCATAAATCGAAAATCTAAGAGAAGAATCTAAAAATAAAGAGATCAAAGTCGGTAGAAAAGGGCGAAACAACGAAAATGAAAGGGAGCATAAGAAATTATAGTGTTTAGCTAGAAAAACGAAGAAATCGTAGAGAACACTTTCGATTCTGAATTTATAAACAAAAAAACTCAAAAAGCAAGTAAAAATACCTAAAACAGAGGGATCAATTGAGCGAATAGGCCGCCCAAGTCCAAGATCTGCGGGGCAACCCTTCTCCTTGATATACTGACTCAAGAGACTGCAAGTGAGCGAGAAGCTCGACTTCTCCGGCCGCTTTCCCAGCTCCGAATAGCTCGCCATCTCCACTATCTTCTCCGGCGAATCGCTCAAACTCTGCAACAAATTTTTTTTTTTTTTACAGCTCGGTACAGTATTCTTCTTAGCTTTAGGTTTTCGTTTCCGCTTCAATCCAAACAAGGCCGCGACTTTATAAAGTGGAATCGCGTGAGGCGAGAATGGCGCGGATTTAAAGCACGTGAAGATGAGAAAAGCTATTTAATTTGAAAGAAAATAATAAAATTATTGTTGAAAATGGTGGGTGATGGAAAACACGAGGTGTGTTTCCTGGAACTTCTCCTCTGGTCCGCGAGAATGGCACGCGAATATTAATAAATTGAATCCGAACATATTTGAAAAAAATAAAAATTTAAAGAAAAAGGTGGTTAGTTTCGCTTTCGTCGGTATGGAGAGAAATCACGTGGGAAATGTTGAGTTTTTTTCTCAGACGGCACCGTACAGCCTACGAAACGGTCGGAAACGTCATGAGAGCATTTTCCGGGGGAGCGCGAGGACTTTTGGGGGCTGCATTTGGAAATCTTGCATACAAGGGCTTACTAATAAATATATATTTTTTTCCCATTTCAAGTTTATCGAAGAAAATTTTTATTTTGAAATATTTTTTGATAAAAAACTGACCTAAATCGATTAAAACTTTTTGATATATATATATATATA